ATTCTTTGTTTTATAAACAATTTGTTTATTTTAAAACATGCAGTTTAGTTTCTTTTTTTTTTTATTTTGCTAATATTTTGTTTAGTTTTATTTATGCTACTTATTACAAATATTCATTTTTTATTCAACAAAACTACAGTTTAGTAAAGTTATTCATTACAGGGCTTTCTAGAACGCCAATGGCGCCCGAATCAAAAATAAAGAATTGTGCTTATATTTAAAACCAAGAAATTACAAACCTTAAAGTTTTGTGAACGTAGCAAATATCTATTTTTGATACAGCACTAGAGATGTGCTAGGTACCCGTTTCGGACCCGGGTACCCGATTATTCAGCGGTTTTACTGGGCACCCAGAATCAGCCATTTTGTTGATGTACCCGGCACCGGGTATCTTTAAAAATATTTTTAACGGACATGACCTGAGTGCTGTAACTAATAAATAATAAAGATAATAAAATAAATTTTGTTTCAGTATTACATCAAATTGTGTAGAAATATTATTAACTGGATCAAAAATAGTGCTTCAACAAATAAACTTTTTAATAGTTCTAGAAGTCGATAATTCCTATGTACTAAACCTAGACGAGTCTCAATGAAATTACGTTTTCGGATATATTTTTGCATATTATATTGAAAAAAGTTGATAGCAGATAATATTGCAAAAACGAAACTGATTTATGCAGATATAAAAACTGTAGAGTAAAATGAAATAATAGTAAAGTAAATAAAATAATAGAGAGTACGAAAGAAATAAAATGAAAAAAAAAAACGAAAAAAAAACAAATAGTTGCTTTTTTTTATTGCTTAGAGCGCGAAAAAAAGATATTTTTTTTGAAATTTTAATTGCGAAAAATGAATAAGAGAATAATACTTTGTGTAGGTCGTTTATAAATATAATCAATTGCCATATCAATTATGCAAATATTGCTTGGGGTAATACCAATAAATCTAAACTTCTACCTCTTTATCGTCAGCAGAAACATGTTGCTCATCTTATCAATTATAAAGATTGATTTGTTCATGCCAAACCATTATTATTTCAAATGAAAATTAGTAATATTTATCAGCTAAATTTTTTTAATATTCTTTGTTTTATGTTCAAGTGTAAAACCAACAAATCTCCAGTTTCTTTTTATAATCATTTTTTATATGAATGGAATTATCTTTCATTCAAGTATTATGCAATAAACTTCATATTCAAAATGAATATGAAGTTTATTACATAAGGTAATATATAAATATTTTATCTGAACCACAACTTATGTGTTTATGAAAACAGTACTTTTTAAAATATTTTTGTATTTATAAATAAGAGTACCAAAAATTTGTTTATTCCAATTTTGTTTATATATTATTACGAAACTTATGTTCTCGCTAGTTATTACTAATTTTTACTACGACATATTAACCAACACAGACGATTTTCAACTAAACTTTTTTCCCATTAAGTTTGGGAAGTCAAACTTAATGTGCCACGGTTACTAAAAACAAAGAAATATTGCATAGTTTTAGGGGTTTTTAAATATTGTTTAGTCGTTTTGAAAAATCTAAATTCTGCTTAAATAAAGCCTTCAATCAACTACTGTCGGAAAAAATATTTGATCGTCTACTTTTTGATTATTTTGACCGCTGATAACGCTTTTCATTTGTCCAAACAAAAAAATCTTAAAAGAAATTAAAATGAAATGCAGCAAAAGATATTGTCTAAATTATGTTTTATTTGATAATTTTTTTTTTTTTTATTCTTACTTTTTTTAATGGAATCGGTCCCGGGTACCTGGCCTTGGACCCGGTATATATATATGTATATATACATATGTAAACACACATATATATATATATATATATATATATATATATATATATATATATATATATATATATATATATATATATATATATATATATATATATATATATATATATATATATATATATATTCATTTTTACTTTTACCTAATCTATTTATGATATTATGTATTAAACGATATTTTATATTTTTTATTTTTTACAAATATTCATTCAATTTTCTTATATACTATATTTTCTTCAATAACTTTCTTAAAAATTATAAATTGTAACACAGTGCTCGGCGATAAGGCAAATTAATGTCTTCTTTTTGCTCCGGCCATTAACTTAATTGTAAATTTATGTAAACTTTAATACTTATTTAAAATATACGTGCAAAATATAATGTTGAAAAAAAAAATTACAATGGGACTCTGTTACTTGAAATTGTTTTAAATTAAACCTTGACAAATCAAAATGTTTATTCGGCATTGTTGAGGGAACAACACAAAAAGAACATTGACCTTGAATGTAGATAAACCCTTTCGTTGTTTTGAAGATTTTTGAAAATATCTGGAGTTTTTTTATGATCGTAATGACCTTATCACGAAGTGTTAAGGTCATTGCGATCATTACGATCTTCATTATCTTTATGCCTTATCAACCTACTTTTTGAAATTAATTTTCTATACGACATTATTAGTTTCAAATAAATTAAAATATATTTGAAAAATTATGACCATATAAAATTTGCAATCTCCTCAAATTGAGGGGGTTTAAACCGTATATGGTCATAATTTTAAAAACGCTGAGAGATCATAATATGAAAGTTAAAACTTATCAATAAATATAAGTCTAGTTGAGAATAATACGCAAAGTATTTTATTAACTTGTTGCCCTCAAGTTTGGAGTGGGGATAGGAGTGATAAAATATCAGAGCTTTTCTGTTCCCAGCCTCCAATCATTGCAATTTTTTGCAAAGTATCATTATTTGACATAAATATGAACATACAAATGTTTAATTTAAAATTTATTCTTATATTCAAGTCATATTTCATTATGTCAAAATCTGAAGCACAAAAACGAAAAGAAAAACTACAGACACATCTAATGGTTTCTGCAAAGAAGTGCAAATTTATCACATAATTTTTGTCAGTGCAACAATAATTTTTAAAAATATTGATTCGAATTCACAGAGTAAATGATCAATAAAACGGACACAAGGTGGTCGAGCTATTAAGTTGAATTTTTAGAGTAGGCATCACCAATACTGAAGTATTTGTGCAAAGGTTAGGCATCAGCAGTACTGAAGTAGTTGAGCAAAGGTACTGGCTAAATATTGTTCAAGCTTTTAAATGGAATTCTACAGGAACTCGGTTTTGATTTACAACACTACATATTGAACAGCACATTATGGTGCATCAAACTATTATGGCCAGTACAATAGTCTGCAAAAAAAGGCTACTGAAGCTAAAGACCACCATATATATATTTGGTAATAAGGTCATGTTCTCAACTTAGTAGTAAAGGATGCAACCAACTGCTGAATTCAGGCGGTTTCTTTTTTTTATTCTTTTGCAAAATGTAGCAACTTTCATTAAAGTGTCATATATGTAAAACATGAATTAAACGTGTTTAAACACAAATTAGAATAGACAAAATGAAAATAATGAAACTGATTGATGAAACAAACTGGTCGGGTAAATCAAATGCTGCAACGGCGATGTTTGGAACTTAATACAATAATTTAAAGAAATGCATCTTCCTCTGAATTGATCTTCCTCTGAATTAAACTTTTTAAAAATAGTTATTACTATTCTTGACACATCACTCTGGATTTTTTTAATTCATTATAAATTAATTAATTTTTGATTTTAGTTTTTGTGTTATGACTTGTTTTTTAAAAAGTTGCGGACCGGGCCGTCTTAATAATATATGTATATGTGGAGGGCCCTTTATTTATAGGCCTAGCCAATACAATATATTTAGTCAGTCCGCCACTGGGCCCATTTTGCACAGGCTTTTAGAGTATTGTAGGCACACATAGTACAGGCTTTTAGATTAATAAAATTAAAAGTATTGTGAGCAACAGTAAGCACAAAGAATACAGAGTGTATTTTTTTTGAAAGAGAGGGCCTCACAGTATATTATATACAGACAGTATATACAAAGCATAGTACAATATAATAATATTCAGCAGAAGGTATTAATTATATTGCAGAAAAGCTAGATTTAAATCCAACTTAAACACTAAAATGAAATATGTATGTAGCATCAAAAAAAAACCATTATCTATTCTTCTATAAAGCGTTTGCTTCAGAGAAGTATAGACTTACATGCTCTTGTTTCAGCCTAAAACCCAAATTAACTTTCGATTTCAAATTTTTTTATAGCAATTCCAAATTTTTTTTTTATAGTTTTAAAATTTATTTATGGTTAATCATATCTTTTACCCGATTCTCATTTAGCTTTTACTGGCTCCATCATGTTTTTATACTTTCATTTACTTTAAAACCTTAGTCTCGTCACTAAGATTTTAAAGTAAATGAATTGTGAGAATACAAAACTCTTACTACAGAAATATTTATTTATGGCTGTAACAGTTTTTCGGTGAATGTGCAAAACGAAATGGTTTTACATTTTTTTCACAACTTCTTGTTTCACTAGCAAAAAGTTCCTTCCTTTTTTGTTTTTACTTTTTTCAATTATTATTGTTCATTAAAACACTTTTAAACAATGACTTTAAACTATTTCTTCTATAAATAAAACTTGTTTGTGAATGCACATTGGCGTGTGTAAGTATTTGTTATATAACACTATAATGTTATATACAAAATAACATTTGTAAACTGTAAGTTTTGAAAAAAAAGTTATGAAAAGATTAGAAACCTATTTACTTTAGAAACTAAAAAAATAAATTAAAAACATTTTATTGGTTAACTTAAAAACTTATTCTTTTATATTTACTTTTATATTTGATTTGCTAAAGGTAAGGCCAAAATATATATATTGAATAACAATTTTTGTGTATATTGACTTTTTCAACAGTGTCGTTATGCAACATCTTTATGATATTTTACAATCGTCTATAAAGTAATTAAAGTTTAAATTAAAAATTAAATTTAAAAAATAAATGTTTAGTTGAATTATTATTAATATTTTTTTAATTGAAAAATGTGAAAGAGGTTTATATAAAGAATTTGTTACAAAAGATAAGTTCGTAGATATTTAAACCTATTTAAAGAAAATAAATTTTAAATGGAATATTCAAATACAAAGATAATTGGTGGTTACGATGCGAATTTTTTAGACAAATTTTTAGATGATTATGAATGCCCTGTGTGTAAATTGGTTTTCCGTGAGCCTATTCAAACACAGTGTGGTCATCGACTTTGTTTGTCATGCTCTGAAGAAATAAAAAAGAGGTAGCAAAGTTAAAACTAATATATATATATATATATATATATATATATATATATATATATATATATATATATATATATATATATATATATATATATATATATATATATATATATATATATATATATATATATTATTATTATTTTTTTTGTTTGTTTTTTTTTTTTTGTTCTTTATTACATTTTAAAAAATGACGTTAATATTTTATAAAATTTACAAGCTAAAATAAAAAAATATAAACAATTACAAGTGAAGATATTGAATATATATATAAAAAGAACGCGGAATATATATATATATATATATATATATAATATATATATATATATATATATATATATATATATATATATATATATATATATATATATATATATATATATATATATATATATATATATATATATATATATATATATACTAAGTTGTAGTTAGTAGTAAAAGGTAAAACGTTTGGTGGATTCTGAACTTGACTGTTTTTAATTTTTACTGTCTATTCAGTGTAATAGTATAATTAATATATTTAAAATCTTTTTAAATTACTTAAAAAATAATTAAACAAAAACGAAACCAACAAGTTAAACAAAAATTTATGGTAAGTAAAATATAAACTTTAAGTAAAAAAAAGCATTTATTATTCCATAGAAAATAAATTGATATCAAAACTGGGAAAAAACGAAAAAAAAGGCTTGGCATGAGTAAAACGGAATTAAAGTTTATAAGACGTGCAATATGCTTCTGTTGACGATAAAGAAGTTCTAACATACTTTTGTTTACACCACCCCATGCAATATAAAATGCACCCCAAGCAGTATTAGCATAATTGATATGGCAATTAATAAATGAGTAATATAATTGAAATAAAGTATATTTATTTAAAAAGGGTCTTGATTGTATAGTATTCCTATACTTCTAGCAATTTTATTGTTTAGATTGTAATATAAACATATAAACTTGGAATCTGGAAGAAGATCATATCGATCTTATCGCCAGAACCATATAAAAATTACAATATAAATATAATATAATATAATACAGGTAGTTTATAACAAAATAAGAATTCAAAACTTTTGAAATAAAAATTGGTTAAAATAATATCTCAAAAATATTTCAATATATTATCCGTAGAAAAAATAATATTCTTTAGCTTGTTTTTAAAAACAGAAACAGAGATAGATGATTGTAAATTAGGCTGTACAATTTTATTCCAGATATAAGGTGCTCGATAATCTATACAAAACTGATTAAACTTTGTTTGACAAAAGGGTTCTTTTAAATAATTATTATTTCGCAAACTATATTTATTCTTTACTTTAAAGGTAAATAGATCATTAAAAACACGAAATAAGGAGTTATTCATACAACAAAACGTAAAACATAAAATATTGTACAAGTTAAGTTCATAAACGTTTAATACATTCATATCTTTAAATAGAGGTTGTTAACCTATAAACCATATGAGGTTTTCATCAATGTAAATACCCAAGAAATTAGTAACTTTAGCTCTCTTTATTTTAATATTATCAATATACAAGGAAGGTATATTCGAAAGTAGATTTTTTTTTAAGCTGGGTAAAAGAGAATTCATTTAGTTTTTTCAATATTTATTGATAGCTTATTTGACTTAAACCAGTTAGAAATTTTATTGAGTTTAGTATTTATTTTGTTGAATAATGTTGGAAAGTTATTATCAGTTAAAAAAAATTTGTTTCATTGGCAAACATAATTGTTGTCAAATTTGATGCTTTATAGAGATTATTAACATGAATTAAAAAAAAGCAAAGGTCCTAGTATGGATTCTTGTGGAACTCCGCATGATATATTTAATAAATTTAATGATGAGGTTGAATCTGTTTTAACAAAATATTTCCGCTTTTATAAATAGTTTTTTAATAGTAATAACACATTCCCTGTGATTCCTAAGGATTGAAGTTTTTTCAAAAAAATTTCGTGATCAGTAGTGTCAAATTCTTTTGATAAGTCTATAAAGATGCCTAGTATAGATATATAGTATATTGTGATTTTTCAAATGAATTTGCAATACCCCTAGCAAGTCGAAGTACTCCATGTTCAGCAGAATTACTTTTTTGAATCCAAATTGATTGTTGTATAATATTTTATTTATAGTTAGATAGTTATATATTCTGTTGTACAAAACTCTTTTCAAAATTTTTGAAAAAATAGGGAGAACTGAAATAGAGTTCACCTCTTTTAAAAATTGGAGTAACTCTAGCTATTTTAAGAGCGTCTGGAAATAACGCTTGTTTAATTGAGTAACTAAAAATTTTAAAAAGAATATTTTTAATAATGTCATAGGAACCAATAAAAATATTTTCATTAATGCTGTCTATATATATATATATATATATATATATATATATATATATATATATATATATATATATATATATATATATATATATATATATATATATATATATATATATATATATATATATATTTATATATATGTGTATATATATATATATATATATATATATATATATATATATATATATATACACGCATACATATATATATATATATATATATATATATATATATATATATATATATATATATATATATATATACATATATATATATATATATATATATATATATATATATATATATATAAACGCTGTATTAAACGCTGTAAATCATACAATCCTGCGTCAAAAATTTGTAAGCTTTGTTTAAATGAGAAATTTGAAATATTATTTTACGAAGCCCCCCACGTTATTTTACAAACCCCCCCCCCCCCCACGTGACTCCTACTCGCGCCGGCCCTGTGTTTAACTATTGTGTTTATAAAAACAAGTGATTTATTAATTTGATTATTTTTTAATGTAATTAATATTATAATTGTTATTGTTGATGTTTGTTTTATTGATACTGTGGTTCTTATGTTTATTACTATAAATATTATTTTTATTATTATAATTATTATTCTTATAATTATTACTAATTATATATATAAAGATCTATATTTTTGGTGTTTACTTGATATTAGTAGAATTACTATTTGTAAATATCCATGAAATTATTTTTCAGAATATATATATATATGATATGATATATGATATGATATGATATGATATGATACAAAGGAGACAACCTGCTAAATAAAAGAGGCGAAGTAGTTTCGAAATGCAGACATAAAAATAAATTTCTTTTTTCATTATTTGATAGCGGAGATTAGTTTTCCATTACGTCTTCTTGTACTGATACGTCAGAACTCATTCTACTGTAGTTAGTAATTTTTAAACGGTTTTTTATATTTTTGATTTTGTACTTCATGGCTGATGATTGCCGATAGGCATGAAACTTTAAGTTCCATTAAAAGTTGTTTTTTCTATATTTAAGTATATATATATATATATATATATATATATATATATATATATATATATATATATATATATATATATTTAATATGTAAGTTGATTTTAATAAAAAAGGCAGCGTATAACTATTTTTAAATATATTTTGATGTAAAAATATATCAACGATATTTCGCTGACCTATTGTGGTCAGCGTCATCAGGTAATAATAAAAAACGTTACAAAATAACATAAAAACAAACCGTTTAAAAAAAGAAGACATTAAAAAGCGTCAAATATAAAAACCAATTAAATATAATAATGACGTCAGTTAAATTTTTGTCAAAATGGGTCCCCAAGTTCTTGTTTTAACCTTATCCCCGTCATCTCGATTTAGAACACCTTCCCCAATACCTATCTCACATCGAGCTTTCGCTTTGTTAATCTCCAGAGATTCTCTAATTTTTCGTATCTTGTATTCTTGAACGACTGCCAAGGTCTTAGGATTTAGCCAATCAAAGTTACCACGGCATGTTTTGGAATGTTCCGTGGCTCCTGAACTCGACCATTTTTGATTTTCGCAAGCTCTTTGGTGTTCTGCACTTCTTGAAATGATTTTCTTTTTGGTCTCACCAATATATATATTTCCGCATCAGCATTTAAGTTGGTAAACCCCCGGATTTGAGTTCGGAGGTAGTTTAGTTTTGTTGTTGCATAATATATTACTCAAACTAGGAGCTGATGTAAATATAACTCTGATGTTTTGTTTTTTAAATTCTCTTCGGAGTTTTGGGCCAATAATAGGTATCCAAGGTAGTTTAACAAACTTTTGATCTAACTGATTAGATGTAGTGTTTTTTGAAATGCCGTCTAAATAGTTTTTGGTTATTTTAATAAGATTATTTTTATTATAGCCGTTTTCAAAAAATGTATTTATGAGGAAATCAATTTCTTGTGAGAGATATTTTTGAGAGCAGATTTGTTTTGCTCGACATAAAAAACCTTTAAAGACGCCAATGGTTATGCTCGGGTTGATGTTGGAGTTTGGTTTTATTTGAACATTCGTTATCGCATCCTTACGGTGTATTTGAAACTCATAAAATCCATTCATTGTATTTGTAATACAAATATCTAAAAAATTAAGTTGTTTTCTTTTGTTTTCAAGTTCCACGGTATATTTTATGGAGGGGTTTTGTTCATTTAAAGCTTTAAGAAATAGTTCTTGCTTTTCTTTTGAATCGAAGCGAGCATGGCTATCATCCACATATCTTTGATAAGTTATTGGTTGGAATGAATTAACAAAGGCAATATCAAGTGCTCTTTTTTCTATACTTTGCAAAAATGCTTCAGCTATGACTACCATCAATGATAAAACAATTGGACCTGAATTAGGTAAAATTCGGATTTTATCTTCGTATAAAAAGTAACATATGCTTAACGATAGTTCAATTAATTGGTGTATATCTATGAGAGTTAATTTAGTCCTAGTTTTTAAATCTTCGAGATCATCGTTCAATATGTTAATAATAACAGGAATTGCTTCATTGATCGGTACGGATGGATATAAATTAATTACATCGAAAGAAACTTGAATTTCATTAGGGTCTATCTTCCATTCTTTAGCATCGTTGACAAAGTTTCTTGAATTAATTAGTCGAGTTATGTTTTTGTTTAAT